ATTGAAATGACAATTTTTGATAAATTTTAATGAAGATCAGTTGAAGTACTCCTAGCTCGTGATAGAACCCTTTTTTTTTTTTTTTTATGTTGATAAGAATATATATATATATTGTTTAAAAGCACAGTAGCAGTAATTAAACTTGATTAGATTGTAGCATGCGTCCATCCATGGTTGCCAAGGTGGGTGGCTAGCATGCCGACGACCAGCACGTTGGTGCAGGCGCCCAGGCCTAACTAGCTTCCGTGCGGCAATCACTCAACAAAGAGAAATGATGAAGAAAGGCACCCATCGATCGATTGTTAAGACACATTGTCTAAATCAATTCCTGCGCTTAGTGGTCTGATGCCATCATCCACTAGGGTGTGTGTGGTAATGATATTCCACTTCTAATTCATCGATGCAGACAGTCCTGAAAATTAAGTGCGGGTTATATTTTAAATTATGCTAAACGTCTTAATTAATTTTTTTTAATTAAGTTATTCTACGTGCCGTAACTCAGTGGTTACTTACTGTTTCAAAAAGTAGATTGTGATTTACACTCTTAAGTTTCGGGTTCAATACCCCCACTAACGCCTTTAACATACTAACCTTTAACCATTATCCTTATAAAATAAAAAAACGTTAGGAAATATATAGTTGGGTTATCCTCTCTTATGTTTATTTATGCTACCCATATTGATTAATACTACTAATAAGAACTTAATCAAACTAACACATATTAATTTAAAAATTTTAATTTGAAATTAGAGGTTTAAAACTCAATATTGCCAAACAACTAATTTTATATGCATTTTTTTGTATTAATTTTTGGTATCTAAAAATGACATTGAACCTTAATTAATTCAAAATCAAATTGGGTCAAACCCCATAAAAGGGTAATTTATCTCAATGCTTATTTTTTTATTTACAAAATTTAAATTTAATATTTTGCTTAAGAAAAATTGACTTTTATTCAGATCAATAAAGCATTGATATTTTATATGTATTTTTTATAATATATAAATAATAATTTAAATTTTTTTCTTAATATATAATTTTTATTAAGTAATCTTTTAAAAAAAAATTAAAATTATCATTCATATATTATATAAAAATGATTACCTAAATATAGGTATAAAAAAACAGACAAAAAAGTGGCGTTAAAAAAGAACGGTGGAATGGCAAACCAAACATGACAAACTGCACCGCAACTCCGGTCCGGTTGTTAATTGTTGGCTATTTTTGAATTCTTGGATCCACGTAAAAATGATTAGTGTACATTTAGAAGGTTTAACATATTCACCAACATTCATCAATTTATTTATTAAAATTTATAATTAAAATTTTTTTATTTTAAATTTAAATTTAAAAAAAGATTATAAATACATTTTAATATATGTTGAATCAAATGATGTATTAATTTATCTTTATTCACATATATATAGTTAATGTATTTCAGTATTGATTTTTGAAAAAAATTAAAATTTTAAATTTAAATAACATCATTTTATTTAATTAAAATTTTAAAAATTTATCTTATTATAATTGAACCAAATCTTCCAGTCCAGTAATTCGTTTCCAAATATTAAATGTTTGGGTGTAATTAATTAAAAATACAACTCTCATCAATACCTTAAAAAAAATCCCCATCCCTAAATTCCCACAGTTAAAAAAAATATAAATTTTTATAATTAAAATTAATATACACTTTTTCATATATATTTATATATATAAACCTATTTTGCTTTCCGTTTGGATTGAATGAAAATTACAATTTAAGCTGAAAATGATCAAAATGACATTAATAAATCACCCACCTGCATGGATTCATTAACGACATTTTGCTTGGTTATTTCCAAATAAATTTGTCCTTAATGACATTTTTGTTATTTTTATTTTAGAATATTGGTTCAATGTAAAGAAGGGAAGAAAAATCAAAGTCATGATGGCCTATCAGTGCACTTAGGCTGAAAGTCTAGTCTAATTGTCTCATCTCAACGACGTCCCATTGATAAAACACCTGAATTCATTAATGCCATTTTTGTTACTATTTACAAACACAACTGATTTTTTTGAAGCAAATATAAACGGAAAAACTACAATCTCAACGATTTAATTGAAAATTACGTAAAAGCTTTGAAAGAGAAAAAAAAACCCTTAAAAAGATACATGCAATAGAGATGATGTGGAGACCCTACAACTCTTAGCTTCCATGGTCCTTTCCAAGCTACCTCAAAAAAAGGGAGAAAATTTTCCCTACTTTTCCAGGGGGTGGAAAAAAGGAAGCTTTCTCACTTCTGTGTGCATGGTGAAATGAGTGTAATTTCTTCTCAATCCATTTGGCCGACAAGAGGAAATGTATAGAGTCAAGACTACCAGTCTACCACGCATTTGTTATGGTGTCTAATCAACTATGAGATGTGTTTTCTACAAATCTTGCG